TAGGAAGCATCGCCTTACCTTGGTGGCAGCATCCCTCAGTGGATTGAATATCTTTTTTAGGTTTGAGTGAGTGTTTCTCCCTCATGGTCATCATCCTACTATTTTCTAATTCAACAACAATAATAGTAACAAAGTCTTATGCTCCTACTATGTGATTTTACATTGAGAATTGCTATCTTTCCCAATGCAACCCATATTCCTTCTAGTTTAAAAAATAAAAACAAACAAACAAAACCCAGCCTTGAACATTAAGGACACTAGGGACTCCCAGGCAAGTGTAGTGGGACAGCTCCAGAAAGGAAGTGGGCATTGAACCTCTTAAGAGACAGTCCTGAAAACTAAATGCCCACTTGAAATGCAACAAACAAGTGTGATCTACATCAACACTGGCATTTGAGGTTCCTAATTTGAAGACCTGGTTGAGCTTCTAGTGAATGGCCATTCTCAGAGAACATCACAAGAATGCTTGGTCATGGGTTTCCAGGTCCATCTCAATTGATGCAAAGGATCCTGGAATCTAAGTCCAGCCTGTGGGTAGGGTAGGGAAGGACTTCTCTGAGATCATTATCCAGCAAAAAGGGTATGGTTCAAGGACAGACTGTAGGTCTAGTAGAGACCTGGCAAGCTGATGTGGCTGGGACAGAGTGGAATGAACACTAGAGACCAGGGGTAGAGTTTTTGTTATTTGTGCATGTCTTTGTTCTAGGTTCCTTTTCTGCTTTCTCAGACAGTGCATTTTGTCTTATCCCTTCGACTGTTATCCCTATCTGGATATTTACCTGGAAAATGAACCCTAATTCTTGCACTTAGCCACATCCCCCAGTCCTTTTGCTTTATTTTTTTAGCTTTTCATTGAGGGTCTTGTACTTCCGCCTGGGCTGGCCTTGGACTTGAGAGCTTATTTGGAGGTTCTAGCAGGGGAGCGCAGCTACTCATATACCCTTGACCCAAGAACAGTCCTCCTCTATTGGGGATGGTCGTCCTCTTCCACCCAGCGAGCAACTTCGGGAGGGACACACATGGAGTTGTGAGGGAGGAAGGGGACACCCGCCTAGTCAGCCAGATCAGCCAAACAACCCTGGCGATCAATGGGGTGACAGATGTCACAGCCAGATCGCCCTCACATCTGGCCTTGGACTTGGACCACAGTCCCCCATACCTGTCTCCCAAGCAGCTAGGAGCCAAAGGCACATGCCACCATACACTTTTGTTTTTTGATAGGGTTTCACTAATTTTTTGCCCAGACTGGCCTTGAATTCTATATCCTCCTATCTCTGCCTCCTAAGTAGCTGGGATTATAGGCATATGTTACTATGCTAGGCCCAAGACAGCTATATTTTTAATCCAGAGCATATCTTATATTGTCCAGAGACCATCTAGTTTAGCTGTTTCCTTTCACTCAAATATAACAGTCTGAGTAGTGAGCAACCTTTTCCTTTCATCTCCCTGAGATTACTTTGAGATTACCCTTCCAGGTAGAGGAGCAAGGACAGCAAGCCATTGCTTCCTGGAGCCTCCTGTTGCAGGTCAGGTTGCCTGTTTGTTGACCTGTCAACCCCCACAGTGGGGCTTAGGGATGGGACCCCCAACACCCTCCTAGATTTTGCTCCAAGGACAGACTGTTATCACCACCAGTCCCTATAACTTGAGGTGTCATCTTTCTTTTTTTTTGGTTATTGTTTTTATTACAGTAATTCTATCATCAACAAAATACAAGACTTGTTCACCAAAGAATCTGATGGGCATCTCAACTGGATAAATGCATGTTTTATTCACCTTTCTATGTTCTCCACATTCAAATTTCATAAAACATCACACATACCTTTTAGTTTTTACAGTAGAAAACAATTTTCAACTTTCAACTGTGAAAAATTACATTTCACAAGTAAAATTCTTGGTGTTTGCTGGAGTTAAGCTGGAGGTAGATCTGATCTGATTTGTCTTTGACTATTTAATTGTAGGTAACCACTGCCTTCCAAAACTAGGTATTACTTCTGAGGGAGGTGTCTTCTTTCCACCCCACCTCCATTTACAGAGAGATTACAGACAACATTCAATCAGTACTACAATCCACAACTGAGGATTTGTTTTTATCTCTTCATACATTTTGATTCTAGAAGGAAATTTGGATAATTTTAGCAAGCTTATTTGACTCAAAATTACACGTAAAGTTTATTCTAAGGAAAGAAACAGAGATATTCTCAAAGATTTATGTGCAGAATATTCATTTCAAAGTTTCTTGTTAATATTACAGTAAGATAATATAACACATCCAACAAACACCCTATTTTAAAAATCATTTTATGATATGGAAAATACCCATGATATAATATAAAAAAAAAACCCAAAACCCAAAACAATAGCAGCTGAGTGCAGTTGCTCATACCTATAATTCCAGCTACTCATCAATCAGTGATCCAGAGGATGGAGGTCTGAGGCCAGTTCAGGTAAAAAGTTAGAGAGACCCCCATCTCAACCACAGCTTCCATTGTAGCAGGCACCTGTGATCCCAAAGGTGTAAGTAGGTAGATATCAGACCAAGGTTGGCCCAGACAAAAATAGGAGAGCCTGTCTGAAAAATAACTAAAGCATAAAATGGCTGAAGGTATGGCTTAAGTGGAGAGCATCTGGTGTGAGTCCCTGAGTACAAACCCCAGTACTTCCAAAAAACAATCAATCAAACAACCCAACAAAGTAAAAAAATCAACTATTGAAACCATTTTTAATTTTGATCTAAAATTTACTCTTAAAACTGTGAATGACTGTATGTGGCATAAACAGCACCATTATAAAAGTAAGTATAAGCCAGCATTTCAGAATTTTTACTGCTCAAATATCGATAATAGAATTTTAAAGTAATAGTTACATTTTCTTTATAATTTTATGTATTTTCCAAATATTCTTCTAGGAACAAGTTCTATTTTTCATTCATTGACATATTCGGTAAACACGTATAGGTGACTGTTAGATGTCAAACATATTGCTTGTGCTGAGAAGATGAAAATAAACAAGACTGAACAGTTGTATTTCTTGCTGTGCTCAGAGTTTATACTCCTTTAAAATTAAGGTAAATAGTTTTAATAAAAAATTATTTCATTTGATTCAGTAATTTCATTTCTGGGAATCTATCCTCAGGAAACAGTCAAAAAAAGCAAAACAAAGTTACCATATAGAAACTCCATTAGAGCGTTAATTATAATAGCAAAAATCTAGAAATCACCTACACACCCAACAGTGGGGGAGGGTTGAGAAGCAGTCATAGCACACTCATTAATGGAATGCTATGAAACATTATGATTATGTTTCTGAAGATTTTTAATAACAAGGGAAAAGCTATTAATGTTTTCCATGGAAAAATGTAAGTTATAAAATTATATAGACTCTGACTTTAAAATTATGTACTGTAATACTCATAAAAGAAAATGAAATGTTAACAGGTGCGATTTTGGATGGTGAAGTCGTAGTTGATTTGAATTTTGTGTCTATGCTCTTCATAGTTCCCAAGCCTTTTGTGATAAATAAGGTTGAATTTTACAATCCAGAAAGCTAGGTTGTCATTAAAAATTAAAGTATATACAGAAAGACAATTTAACATTTTTTGCAACTCGGCATTTCCAGTTTGGAGAGAGATAATTCATATGGAAAGAGGTTAAACCCTTCCTACAAGGTTCTTGGGAAAAGAATAGATGGCCAAGCATGCAGAGAGACACATGTATCAGGGGCCTGAGGGGATGAATTCATGGGGTGCTTATCAGAGTAAGCAAGGAAAATGAGAAAGTGCACTTGAGGGATATAGTGACAGAGACTGAAGCCTCAATCCTAACTCCCACTTGAAGTCCACCCTTGGGCTTGCCATCCCTCACCTCCCTGGGCCATATCTGCACATTAGAGACATGGGGACATTTCTTGTTGCTGTCATTTCCTGTAGCTATGGCATCTAAGACCCTCTGATGTTTTGGGGCCGGTGTCACAGAGGGTCAGGACCCAGCCATAGTTGAAGAGAAAAACAATGGTAGAGCTGAGACTGGCCCTCTGACCAATTCAACTGTGAAGATCCTGACCCTGAGTCCCACCCTTCATCTTCTAAATTCTAGAGAAAAGAGCAGGGTTGTGGGACAGAGGGAGAGAGCTGTCTGCTGATGCTCTGTCAAGCTGCCAGTGCTCCAGCTCATGCTGACTGATAGGTCTCCCGAGAGCTCAGGCAATGCCCCAATGCAGTTAAAAATCACCAATTTGCTCTTTAATTTAGGGAACATAAAAATGTGTGGGCAGAGCTGAAATGCCATCACATTTTCTTGCCCTGCTTTTTGGTTAAATAGAATGTATGATTTTTTATTTTTTAAGTTTAAGGAAGCTGCTATGAGGTTAAAGGAGCAAGTCAACACAGAAAGATTTACAAGTGTACTCACTTTCAGCAAAATGAATATCTGAAAACAAAAGTAGCATAAAAGATAAGGTAATGAAATAATTCCTTTTGCAACTGCTTTGAGTAATCGGTTTACCTTCTACATCTGAAATATAAATGGATTCACAGGACTTGTTTTGCGCACAATATACTAAGCACATAAGAGTTGCATAGAGGCAGGTACACATGAAACTCACATATCAGCATGGGACACCACTGCAAAGGATGGAAATAGAAATTTTCATGATTTTAAAACTGCTCAGCCACAGAAGCCAAAAAAGACTTCAGATTACCTGTAAATCATAAACAATCTTGCTGTAACGATTCTTTTTTTGAAGTTTTCTCCTAGCTCCTTCTTTGGGTTTCTCACACCCACTTATTTCAACAAGGACACCAAAAGATGTCCACATTTAAAATCACAGTGGCAGGTGCTTTAAACATGACTTCACATCCCAGATAAACATCTAACACTCAAATTCCTGCAGACTAGGCATTAGAGACCAAGTACACACACACTCTCTCTCTCTCTCTTTCTCTCTCACACACACACACAAATCAATGCCAATAAAGCTATATTCTGATGATCAATCTTCCCTCATGCCACCTGAAGAGCCATTCCGTCCAGAATGCCAGCCTTCTGCTTGAAAATGCCAACCTTTTCACCTTCAATCAGCTTCCGAAACCCTAAACCTTTGATTGTAGGAAAGGAAGAGCTCTCAATTGTTTTTGCTAAGCACAGTTCCCTGTGGACACAGACAGTGTAAAAACAGTGACCTTCCCTAGCAAGAGAAATTTAGCCCCTGGGTAAGCTTCCTGGATCTCCCCTCTGTAGAGTTCCTTAAGAACATCCTGGTTGTCTTTCCTGAATGAAAGCTCCTGGCAGCACAGAGAAAGCTGAATTAGAATCTGGAGTATTTTATGATTCTGAGGAAATGGTCTCATTCAAATAGTACTGGAGAGTTGAAATGAGAACTAAAAGCTCCCAAATTTTCAGGAAAAAAGTGAAAAAAAATGGAATTTTGACTAGGTATACTTAAAACACCAAGCAACAAAAGGTGCCTAACAGAACAGCAGGCCTGGAGGAGTTTACAAAGCTCCAGTCAGGGGCTAGCCCCTTGGCTAAGCTCTAGGCATTTACCTTCAGGCTTTGAGGTAAAGGAAAGAAGGATTATGGAAAAGAACAAAGCAGAAGTTGAAAGTGTTGGGGAGATGGGTGGATGTGTGAAGAAAGGAACATTAAATGAAGAAAATGGGAGAGTGTGTTGGAAGAAGGGAAGAATGGTGATGGGTGGGAAAAATGGAGAAAAAGAGAGATGAAATAGATAGGAAAGTAACTCAGTGGGCAGGCAGTAAAAGCTCCAGGGCACGGGTGGTCAGTGTTGCCCTCTGACCACACAGGATTCAGCCCCAAACCTCCATAGCGATGCCTCTTGGGACGCTTTCTTACTCCCACAGAGGGCAAGCTCACCTGTCGAAGGCCACAGCAGTCATGGAGTAGATACTGGCAAAGACAGCAGCAATGGGGAAGAAGTTGTGGAACTTGCAGTAGAACAGGCCATAGTACCACTCGTTGTGGACAGCATAGGTGAAGTTCACCACTGTATTGAACGCAGCCATGGAGGCCTCCGCAAAGGCCAGGTTCACCAGGAAATAGTTGGTCACTGTCCTCATTCTCTTGTGGGCCAAGATGATCCACATCACCACCACGTTGCCCACCACAGAGGTCACCACGATGACCGTGTAGGCAGCTGCCCAAAGGACAATTTGCCAGGCCGGCTGCACGAACTGGTTGGGTTCTGAGGTGTTGGTGGAGATGTTTGGGAAGAGGTCTGAGTCCACCGGGAGGACGTTATCCATTTTTGCAGCTAGGCGGGAAGGTCCCGCTTCTGTACACAACACCCTCTTTGCAGTAGGGTCCTGTGGCAGGTGCTTGAGGTTCAGAGTCCTGCTTAAGCCAGACAGGAGGGAGGAAGTTTTCTGTCTTTGTAGGCAGGAGACTTGGTGCTCAGAGGAGAAATGCTTCTAGATGAGCTGCATGCCTGCCCCTCGTGGTCTGAATTCCTCCACTTTCAAGCTTCAGAAGCATTTGAGTTCAGAATCTGGAGACAGAGTCTTTTCTTCGTTAAACTGAAAAGAGGGGAAAAGCTATTCATCTGCCACTGTTCTACCAAGCAAGAGAACCCCGCCTTTCTGCACCTGCTTGCAACTCCTGTTCTCCCTCTCTGCGGCGGGAAAGGCAGAGCCCTGTGCTGTGTGAGGACTATTGGGGACGGGGGGGTGGGGGGGGAAGGGGAGACAGGTAGGAGGGCCCGCTACAGCTCTACCTGTAAAAGTTCTGATTCTATGGCTGGGATCCTGGAGCCTTGTGTCCAGCTGGAGGTTTTTCCTTTGCCTGCGCTGAAGCCGCCGCCGCCGGCGCCTCTGCCTGCAGCTTTGCTGGCGCCTCTTGGCTTGAGTCCTGCTCAGCTCCAGAGTTAGCAGTACCTCGCCAGGCTGCGCACGAGGCTTTTATAAGCCGCTGCACACACGTCACTTGGAAGGGGGCAGTACCTGGATGCGTACTTACCAGTCCCCGTGCGCAGCGCAGCAGCTGCGCCAGCTGTTGGCAACTGTCTCATTCCACCGCCGCAGCCACCACGCCTTTTGCTGCTTGTTACCTGCTTTGGGCGTTTGCAAGCCAGACGCCCCAGCACTCCGCGAGGCGGCGGTAAGTGGCCTGGGAGTAACTGAGCCAGATGGGATCCACAGCTGGAACCACAGTTGCACCAGTGATTCTGGGGGAAAGGAAGGATTTGGAAACAGCTGGAATGGACAATAAACTTCCACAGAGGCATCCCCGAGTCCTGCGACAGCTCTGCAGAGGTGCTTGCTTGTGGCAGCCGGAGGAGGGTGAAATGGGGGGCAAGGTGCCAGCGCTGCGCTCCCGGCCGTGCTCCAGCTTTAGTGCACCTCAGGCTCTTTCCCGGTGCTACAGTTGACAATCCCCGGCTTCAGGTGTCCGGAAAACAACTTTCCTGACGTCGTGTTCAGGAACTCCCTGTTCTCCCCAAATACCTAGCTCCTTTTTTTGGTGGACTGATTCCCTTGGGAAGCAGTGATAGGCTATAAGCGTTTGGATACCTTCTCCAGGCATCCTGGTGACTTTGGCGCCTAGCTCTAGAAGCTTAAACTTGGGCCCTCCATCTGACCCTTAGGAACAGGTTTCCCGCAAGCACTGGGAACTGAGCTGGGCTGCGAAGCTTGGTGAGTTCAAGAGCCACCAGTAAACCAGTGTGCTTTCCCACATGTATGGCTCCCGCTCTCGGCCAACACCCATTGCGGACTCTTGTTCATTCCTCGGGGACCAGGCAGCCTCATCCGCACCCGTAGGGCCTGCTGGTCAGACAGGGCGGGAATGACAGAGGGGGTTCTTCACCCCGTTTCACTTTCAGGTTTGCACAGGGACTGGCAAGGGCGCCTGCCTTCTCTCACCACTCCCACCCCGCCTTGGCTCTGGCGGACTTTGAGACCTCGCCCCCAACTCAAAGCTGTGGTGGGGCACTGGGACGTAGGGAAAAGGCTCATTAGCCAGTGTCACCGTTTTGGAGAAACTGAGATGGACAGAGCTCAGGAGTGTGTACATGGCGGACTGCCTTGGCCTGGGAAGAACGAACCTTTGGAGTCTTTTAGGGGCGCTACCCCTCTGCTCCGCTCCCTTGTCTCACTGCAGGGACTCGGAATTTGCAGACGCAAGTTGTGATGGGTAACAGCCGCCAGCGCACTGACTCCCTTTGGCTTTCGACCGCACTTTCTGGAGTGTGGCGTTTACGCACTAGTGTGGCAAGCGCACACTGTATCTCACGCAAAGCGCTTCAAGGCTGGGAAATTTATTGTACTGATTCACACCAAGCTAAAACAGGATCTCCTCGCCAGGGGATCTGCTAGTATGTTGGACACCGAGATTTCAGCGTTTATAGGAACCACATCTCGCTTTGCTAGTGCCTCCCAGGCCTCCCTAACATCCCTAAGCCCTGCAGGGAAAACTCCAAGGATGCCTTACAGAGAATAGCACAGCGCCCCTGATTTAGAGCAGTGATATATCCTTTTTTGTGCAAGGGCGCATCTTCTCCACCTTGGATCTCTCATTGTTACTTCCAGATGGCAAAGCTGGGGAGTCAAGAGAAGCATGAAGGAAGAGGGGCTGGGGATGTAGGAAGCAAGTACTGACAGTCTAGTGAAGGAGAAAGAATCGAATAATTATACAAAATGCGCAGTATTATGATGAGAGAGATACTAGGTCCCCAGTGAGCAAAGAGGGAGGCCTCCTCTCATAGGAGAGTTAGAGTAGAGGGTAGAAAATGTTGCCCATGGGGAAGCCTGAAAGGAGAATTAGGATGCAAAGAGGCTGAGGTGAGTGGGAGGAGAATATTCCAAGCAGAAGTGTTTTAAGTCAAACCATGTCTAAAGTCCCACAAAGACTGTCTGGCTCACTTACAATAACACCTATTGTCCTCACTCTGGCCTTTAGGGCTCTGCGTTCTCCAGCCTATGAGTTGATGATGGCTTGGGTTGCTCTCCTGCCTGCTCCAGGTTCTTCATAGCTGGTGGCCATTTACCAGGGGTATTACGACTTGATATAGTTAATTCTTTCCCATGAAAAACAAAGCATAAACATTACCAGTTCCCAAACTCCCAGTATTTGGGAGAAGGAGGCAGGAGGATCTCTAAGTGAAGGCCAGCCTGGTCTACATAGCAAGAGTTGGTTGCAGGTTGGACTGCAACTTTTGAGACTCTGTCTCAAAAAGAAACCTAAAGTGGGTAATCATATAGTAGCTAAAAGTATCTTTGCTACACACACACACACACACACACACACACACTATGATTAGGGCCCTACTCTGAAGTAGTGATGCACAAATGTGTAGGTAAGATCCTACACATGCCATTGCTTTCCAAGAGCTGATATATTTTTTCTGTATCCCTTTGTTCCTTGGTTCCCCTTTCCACTGTACTTCCTCTTGACACACAACACTGTCACCATCTCAAAGTAAATCCTGTTGACAAAGTAGTATAAATCCTTGCTTATTTGTCCTGGCTCTCTCCAGCTAGACAGAAATACAAACACACATAAAACCCATACTGTAAGTGCAAATATAGAACTTTCATTGTTATCCTGTTTATTTTTCTCACATAAAACTTTGTCTAAATATTTCTGAGTCAACAGATATAGATTTAACTCATTCTTTTCAGTAGCTAAATTTTATTATTATGGTATCGATGCACCATAATTTATATATATTTTTTTAATCCATGAAAATTGACTTTGTTTTCACTTGCCACTACAGACAATGCCACAATAAACATTCTTTAACTAGGTCTCAAAGTCTGGTGGTCTGGTGTTGCTTGCCTTTCTTTCTCTCTCTCTCTTTCTCCTCCTCTATCCCTTCCTTCCTTCCTTCCTTCCTCTTTCCTCCTCCTTCCTTCCCTCTCTTTCTCCCTTCCTCCCTTCTTTCCCTTTTTATAATGTTGGGAATCAAACACTGGGCCTTGCACATGTTAGGCAAGTGCTCTACTGTTGAACTGTATCCCCTTCTCTGATGCTTTCTTTCTATGGGGTATATTTCAAGTGGAATTTCTAGGCAATTTGTAATACCCATGACATTTATATTATAAATACCAATATATTATTATATTATGATATTATAATTTTTATATTCATATGAAGATGCGTTGTATGTTTCTATTTACTGTTTAATGTTGCCAGATTGCCTTCCAAAAAGAATATAATACTATCATATTTCACTAACAATTAGATTATCCTTTTCTCCACATCTACTCCAGCAATAGGAATTAAAAGTCTTTCTAGTTTTTTCAACCTGGTCAAGCAGCTGTAAAATATTAGACATTGCTGTCATGGAGTGTACATTTTCTCAGCTATTAGAGAATTTGACTTCTTTTAAGTTTTTTTTCTATTTGGATTTTCCTTTCTATAAATTCTCTACTCATATCCTTTACTTTTTCTTCTGTTTGTTTGCTTTCTAGTCATTTTTTTAAAAAAATGTTCTTTGTATTATAAACACAAACACATTGCCTGTCAGGAATATTTCGAATAGTTTTTTAAAGTTATTATTTATCTTCTGAATTTATGCATGTGCCACAAAAACTTGAACAAAATTTATGCAATCATATTTGTTTTAGTAACATTTAGGTTTTGCAGTTTTGATTTTAAAATAGTCTCCCCAAATCCTATGTAGTTCCCCAGTCTCCTAGATTCTTTTACCAGCTTTTAAATTTTATTTTTGATTCACCTGAAGTTCATTAATTTATGTTATTAAAAGCAAATGAAAGATGTTTACTTTTATTTTCTGTCATATAGTTAGCTAGTTTTGAGAGTGAATTAGATCCTTTTCCTTGTCACAGATTACATTTTTAAATATGTGAGTTAATATTCATATACTTCGCTCTTCCTACTGATCCATTTGTCTATTCTGATAACAAATGACATATATACATGTAAATGTATATACCTATATATATTTAATTTAATCCCCTATATTCCTAACTACCCCTCTCTTTGTATTTAGGCAGAGCTATGTGACTAATAAAGGCCAAAAGATTGTGAGTAAACACGATGCATGTCACTTATAACTTGAAGCATAAAAGGGGTGGGGGAGAAAGAATTACATCTCTCCATGTGTTCTCTTCCTCCCTGTCAATCCCCCATGTTCCAATGGTGTAGCTACAAAAGGACAGACAAATCTCTATCACTATGAGTTCTCAGGTGACTGTAGCAGACCCCTGCCAAATCGTCAGGCCATGTAGCATGAGAAAGAAATGAACTTTTGTTGTGCTGAGGCACCAGGATTCAGGATTAACTT